ACCTGAGTCCCATTATCGCAGGCAGATAAGACCTAAACTTCGAAAAGAAAGCCCTATAATTCAATGACTAGAAATACAAGGTTAGTCGAGAAACCACAATATCGAGTCGACATTTTGCCGGCAAGTACAAGATAAGTTTCTACTTAGGCCATGGGTGATAGGTAGGAAAAGTTTGGGCTATCATCCGTAATAATCTTGGAAAACGCCATTATAAATATTTTCACAACGGGTCATATTATTTTCATATTAAATAGAGAACTACGACTTCAGGGGAAGAAAAGCGGAAGAATCGGGCTCGATGTAGGAAAATGACAGTCGCTTTCAGCTATTTTGGGTCTTCTTGAACCTATAAAGATTGAGTAACAGAACGGGTTATGATCACGAATTTGATATGCAAGGTTGGGTCAGCATAACAAAGGTCTGATTGCATTTTTAAAGTGAGCTTTACATTTCGTTCATTTGTGTACATTCCGTCAAGCTGTTTAACAACTAATGGATTTTTACGTATAGGCCTGTCGTCGAAAATAGCATTTTGCGCTTGTGTGATATAAGTGCCATCAAGCAGCCATTTTTGCTCAGCCCAGCCCTAATGATGCTACGGGTTAGGTAATGTTTTACCATCAGCTGTGTTTGGTACTCAGAACCATGAATTTTCAACAATCTGTCTATATAACTACGGATTCAAAATTAAAAACTGAAATTTTGTTTAAATCAGCTCTTTTATCTCTTGAAATTTCAGATAATAAAGAAACTTTCAAATCGTATCCAAATTTGACCCCTTCTTTAAGTGTCTAACACAAACAGTTTACAACGACACTCCACAAATTGTTTTGGTTATCCTTGGCATATTTAATGAAGCTTCATTGTAGCGTCTCACATTGTCATTTTTTATCGCTATGCTAGCGCCGAAGTCTGCCTACGTCAGAAAAATTTCAAAACGAATGAAATGACGAAAGGTGATAGTAAAGACAGAAAATTTTACTAACCTCACTCATATATTTCTTGCATAGGAATTAGAATAATCAAATGTTTCGACCACAAAAGCCTTTGATCGTTTTCAGTCTGCTGTATAACATCCAGTGTCGAAAATCCAACCCTCCTTCTTACACGAGATTGTACAACTATTAAAAAATGGTATCACTATCAGTGGATGGGCCAGATTATACTTGAGGCCTGTATGGCACAAAGAGCAATCGCTCTAAACGAAAAAGAAACAGAAGAAGGAACTTCAGATGCGTTTGTGTGAGGAATGCACAGGATTGGCGGAGGGTGATTATAATTATAAACTGCTTGTGCATATTCTACAGTAACTCAGCAGTTGTGAACTACGAGATACATCAGTCCATAGAGTGCAACATGCAAAGTCGAAAGATCATGGGTTCGAATCTTGGCTGGACCGCTGGCTGTGCATTCTGCTACCGTAGACAAATAAGTACTACTGTTGAAGTCGGAATAAGGAAACTAAATACTCTAGTGGAGCTACGTGTCAATTGGTGTTGTTTCGAAGGGAACATGATATTCCTGGTGGATGGTGTCAAAATGAAAATAGCTTTCGCTACCATGCAAGTGGGCGGT